AAAAACTCTGTGCTTGTTCTGATGACCTCAGAGCCAGTTTTCCTTCTCTACCCATTCCTTTGAATGTTTCTGAATAGCAAGGCATCCTTCGGTGAGGGGCACTTAGACACAAGGCCTGCCATTTGAATGGAAACACAGTCTTCTTGGGGGAAGGGGAAGGTTTTGGGGTCTAGTGGAAAAATACCAGGCTTTGGAGTTAGACTTCAGTTCAAGCTCTGGCTCTGCCACTTTCTAGCTGTGTGACTTTCATAAGTTACTTAACTTCTCTGAGCCTGAGATGAGGAATCTCTGAAGGAGTTATTGAGCTTGTGTGAGATTTTGACCACCCTATCCAAATAGCCCTCCCTACCACAGATACTTGCTATTCTATCACCTTGTTCATTTCCTTCAAAACTCTTATCCCAATCTGAAATGTTTCTCCCTACATATTTATCTCTTGCCTATTGTCTGTGTTGCCCTAGTTTATAAAGCCCAGGAGGGCAGGGGTCATGTCTATCTGGCTTTAAACTTCAGCCCTATTACCTAGAGCAGTTCCTAGAACATCGTAGGTGCTCAGCACTTATTTGTTGACTGAACAAATGTATGGATAACATAATCCTCAGCACGTGGTTGACACCCAGTTAAGGTAGAACGCGCTCAAACCATCTGGGTAAAGAGCCCTGGTCCTCCTCTTCCGAGCTGCCCACACTCATTCAGTCCACTCATTCTGCACATATTTCCTGAGTACCTACTATGTGCTAAGTACTGTTCTAGATTCTGGGGATACAGCAGTAAACAAAACAGACACAAATTCCTGCCTCGTGAAGCTTAAGTTTTAGTGGGCAGACAGGCAAAAGAATAAAGAAGTAAACTATAAGGAAGCCAGACTGTGAGAAGGGCTGTGGAGTGGGTAGGGAGTGCTGGGGAGGGAGGGTCAGGAAAGTCTGCCCGGAGGAGATGATATGTCAGAAAAGTCCCGAAGGAAGGGAGGGGTGAACTCACAGATTTCTGGGGGAAAAGTCTTCCAGGCAGAGACAACAGCAAGTGCAAAGGTCCTGGGGCTGGATGATTGCCAGAGTGGGCTGCGGGGAGAGAGGTCACGGGGGCTGGTTGAGCGGGCCCTCGTAAACCACGGTGAGGGCTTTCCGCGTTGCACTGAGAAAGATGAGAAGAATATGGTGAGCCTTCTATTTTCTAGGGTCATTAGAGGGCTGTGTTTGTTGCTGGAAGATTCTGCAGCTGGGCTGCCCCCTGGTGAGCAGAGAGCTGTGTCAGGCCTCTACTCTCCATCCTTCTCACGAGAGCCAGTTTCTGCCGCCCTGGACACTGGCCTGGCTCTGCGTGTCACTTCCTCTCCCTGGAGTGTCCCCTGCTTGAGGCTGTAGGTTACCCTGGAAGGCAGGGGCAGGGGGTGGTGCTGCTTTTGACAGCCACTTTCAACAGCCAGTGCCGACTGAACACCTGATCGGCTTGAAGCTCCCAATTACAGGGGAGCAGCAGGAAAGGATGAGACTCAGCTTGGTCCTCAGGCTGGGGGCTGGGGTGGGGTGCGGGTCCCTGGTAACCCGGTTGGGAAGACAGGCTCTCTGAGGGCAAAGCTGAGTGATGTTGCAACATTGTAGGTATCACATACACAGTGCCCAGAGGGTTGTTACAATGGTAACAATGGCTAACAATTATGTCAGGCTACTCAGCGACAGTAAAATTAGATTTTAGGGGTCAAGCTGACACCCAAAGGGGAGCCATGGTCACACAGACTCCTGGGACCCAGTACCTGGAAGCATACGGTGATGTCCGAGAGGCCACAGCCCCCCGATTCTTCCCACCTAGGTCTGTCCCACGTCACGGGGCTCCCGGGCTCAGAGATCAGAGACCTCACAGGGTGGGAGGACCCAGGTGGCCGGCAGGGTGTAGAGCCGACCTCTGGGGAAAGGGGCTTAGAGATCCCAAGCTGAGGGCAGGTGCCTGCTCTATGGCGTCCACTTGGGACCTGGCTCAGTATCAGGGCAGAGCCTCTGGCAACCCCAGGAGCCTCTCTGGGCCTCCAGCTCCTGGTCTGTAAAGGGAGAGGCTGGCCTCCATCAGGGAACCCCCAGCTCTGCCACAGGCTGCCCTCTAGGAGGACAGGGGCTGGTGGCACTGGCTGAGCTGGCAGGGACTCCCCTGCCACACTCAGAGCGGTCCCAGTGACTTGTTAATGTTGATATTTGGAGCTTCCCCACGACTTTCAACTTAGGAAAGTGTTCTGCCTCTTAAAAAAAGCCATGAGGGACCCCTATAGAGGATTCTCCCCAGTGAAGGCCAGGCCTCTCGCGTTGAGGCCCAGTGCTTGGTTCTGTGTTTTGGAGATTTCAAGAGCATGTGGTCATCAGGGCCGTAATCACCCAGGGAAGGTCCTTGAGAAATGGGGTCTGAGGGCAGAGTCTTGGATCTTTTTTTTTTTTTTTTTTGTGGTACGCGGGCCTCTCACTGTTGTGGCCTCTCCCGTTGCGGAGCACAGGCTCCGGACGCGCAGGATCAGCGGCCACGGCTCACGGGCCCAGCCGCTCCGCGGCATGTGGGATCTTCCCAGACCGGGGCACGAACCCGTGGCCCCTGCATCAGCAGGCGGACTCCCAACCACTGCGCCACCAGGGAAGCCCTAGAGTCTTGGATCGTTAATGAGCTTTTCCTTCTCCCTACTGTTCTTAATGTCAGGTTTCATTAGGAAATGGAGTTCTGTAGCTCTGCTCTTCTACCCAGACATGCTGTTGACATAGATGCTTCTAACCAGTGGGCAGGGGAAAGAATGGTTGGCCCTCTGAGAGGGATGGGTCTCTCCAGTACCCTCTTCTCTACACAAAAGGAAGACCACTCTGAACAGGGTCTGATGAAAGGCCATGGGACACAAAGGGCCTTGGGACAGGGTGGGGTCCTGGTGATGAAGGACGCACACGGTGGTGGCAGGTGGCCCGCGGCCCCACTGTGTTCTTCCCGCACATCCAGGACCCCACCGCCTTCCTGCTCCACCTGGACACCTCTCCAGCTGGCTTTGAAATGACAGGTACGTTCCCTCCTCTTCCTCCTTCCTGGTGTCTTCTGAACAAAGAGCTCACAAGCCCTTGTTGTGTTAGGATCCTTACGCTAACCACAGGGGGGAGAGGACAGGGTCATCACAATGACAAAAATGAGGAAATGGTGCTGTTCTTTCTGCTCTGAGCTGAGCTATTGATGCGGTCTCCTCCACAGTCTCCTGGCAGGATCCCAACCACCCACTCCACTCTCACACAATCCTGAAAGGTCACTCCTGTTTCTCATCTGGTCTTCCCACCCTTGTTTGCCCGATGACCCCTGCTTATATTTCAAGTCTCACTTCCTTAGAGAAACTGCTTCTGCCATCTGATTGACGTTTTATTCCCTGTATTCTCCCATAGCAGCTTGTATTAATACTCATGCCCTGTTGTAACTGTCACCATGCAGGTCTGTCTCTAAGACCAGGCAGTGTGCTTCTGTGGGGGAGGGACACTTTGTACCCCCTCCTCCCTCGTGAATATTTTGTACTCCTACCTCTATTTTTCTCTGCTGTGCTCAGGGCAGGCATTACGAATCAATCACAGCACTCTTTTTTTTTGATGATCCCAAATTCAGCACTTCATAATCATTCTCAGCCCAGCACTTCAAGATCCAAACAATCATAACCCCCGTCAGAGGGCTCCACAGTGCTGTCTGGTCTTAGGCATTCCCTAGCAGATGTGTGTCCTGGTTCTCTTGTCACCTGACTCTCATCAACTGTTGGACTGAAAGTAGGAGAATGAGAAAGAGTGAGGTTATCCTGCAGAAATTTGCCTATTCTCATCAAGGGGAGAGAAGGAAATTGGGAACGACGGGAGGAGCTATAGGATTAAAAAAAGAAATCCAAGGTTGAAAGTAACTTTCATGTGGATGAAGCCAGATGCAGACATCCAGCCCTAAATCCTGCTTGTTGGCTAATACAGGGCATGGGCTCCTGGTATACTTCCAGAATGAAGCACCAGGAGACTAGGGGTTAACAGCTCGTAGCAAGGAGGCCAAGGTGTCATCTCATAGCCTCCACATCTCAGCTGAGAGGTGGGACATGGCTCACTCAGGCCACGATAACAGAGGCAAGTCCTACAAAGCCATATGCTTCTAACCAAGAGTTACCAACCACCAATAGAGTTTTGATAAAAAATATACGACAAGAAACCTTCCTGGTAGATTGTCGGAGTAAAACCAGAGTCTGGCGATAAAGAAAGACTGGGGGTCCCAAAGCGTGGAACCCTCTATGTAAGAGAGAGATTGCGGGCAAGGTTGGGGGCAGGTGTGGTGGGTTTGCAAAGCTCCAAAGGTCAGACAATGTGAATGCCAAGGGCAAGAAATCAAAGACTGTGAGTGGTTGGAGGTGGTTCAGTTTGAGATCCCATGTTCTCAGCTCCTGGGTTATGGAATCCATGAGAGAGGCAGACGGTGATGGCTAAAGCTAATACAAGCCTGTGGAATCCATGGGTATCACTCACGTCTTCTGCTCTCCGGTCATGTCTGCACTGACGCCATCCTCATTTCTCCAAGGCAAAGGGCCAACAGGAGACCTCCCTGCCAGGGCAAATCATCCCCAAGAGATGATTTTCCCCTTTGGCACCATGTCCTGTGTTTGCTCAGCCGCCCACATCCTGCTCGGCCCCGAACCTTGGAGCAGTCTTCCCACAAATTCACTCAAATTCTCCAAGATTAAAATCAATCCTATATTCAGGGAGCACTTGAGAGACTTCGAGGTTCACCTAGAAGGAAGTGGAAATTGCATCGCTAATGTCAGTGCTTGTGCAGCTGGGCAATAGCCAGACGGTTCATATGACAATCAATCCAACACACCTAAATTGTTCCCACAGATTAACCATCGATTGTTAGAAAAGTCACTTACTTCCTTTATCTTTACGGCAGCAGTAGAAATAGAGTACCCCGGAAGACACGCCTCCTTATAGCTAGGAACTTATAAATAGCAAGGCATTTTTATTCAAATTGAGAAGAACCCAGAAAAATGGGGATCTCTACAGTCATCCTTGAAATATGTCTTTTATTGGGTCAAGTTCTATCTACAGGTATTATATCTAATTGCTACATTTGTTAATTTCACGGCTCTAACTCCAAATCATGGCAAATTAGATCTGTTTCTTGGTGCTAGACTTTCCATCTCAAGAGTTTTCTATCAAGGGTGGGGGCAATTCTTTGCTAATCATTGTAATTGCAAGTATTTTTATTTTGTTTCTGGCTGAGAAATGCCATGGTTGTAGTTAGAAAAAGTCAATCATTATGTCAGTGTCTACAGTGAGTTACTCAACTAAGGAAATGATTGACTGGTCTTAGAAAAATCCCTGAAATTAAGGAAAAGTGTGCACTATTAAGAGGTCCTAAAACTTTGTCATCATTGGTTAAGACCTTAGTTTGTGTACTGATGAAAATGGGCAGAAAAGATTGCCCTGGAAATGCTCATCATGTGAGTTCTTTCTGCAGGTGTGTCTGGCTTATTAATTAGTATTTACAGAGCAAAATCAGATCAAGTGGCTGAGCACAGATAAGATCATTATGATAGCAAGTTTGTGTCTGTCGCTACTTTAGAGAAATGATTATTTTTTTATAAGATGTGGTTAAATTCTCTCTTTCTAAAAAATTATTTATTTATTTTTGGCTGCGTTGGGTCTTCGTCGCTGCGCACGGGCTTTCTCTAGTTGTGGCGGGCAGGGGTTATTCTTTGTTGCAGTGCGTGGGCTTCTCCTTGCGGTGGCTTCTCGTTGCGGAGCACAGGCTCTAGGCGCATGGGCTTCAGTAGTGGTGGCACGTGGGCTCAGTAGCTGTGGTTTGCAGGCTCTAGAGTGCAGGCTAAGTAGTTGTGGCGCACGGGCTTAGTTGCTCCACGGCATGTGGGATCTTCCCGGACCAGGGATCGAACCCGTGTACCCTGCATTGGCAGGCGGATTCTTAACCACCGCATGACCAGGGAAGTCCTAGAGAAATGATCTGAAGCTTAGTTAGTCAAGCATATCTTTGTGTTCTTAGAGTGTCAAGTGATAAAAGGGACACGAAAGAGCCCTGGGCAAATCAGTGAGACCTTGAATCTCAATGTCATTTTACCGAGATGCTAAGTGAACAGGACAATTAGCCAGTCTGTCTATTAGTTCTCTCTTTTTTTCTCTCTGTCTCTCTCACCCTCTGTCTCTGCCCAGGAACACGCTGACAGTTGACACCCACCTTCCCTTCTTGTCAGGAGGACCTTGGGGGGTACTGGCTCTGGACAATCTCGGGGCTGGAGATTACGCCTCCATCAAAATATTTGAAAATGGAAGGCAGTGTTCTTAGCTCCAGCTTTTATGAGTACGAAGTTAATCTCTGGACTTGCACTGGCTCTGAAAATGGGAGATTCATGTCAGCCCCTAAAGGACAGGGAGCGAATTGCCATGTCCTTATCTACAAAGGAGCTTAAGGCAGCTTCTACGCGTGTCTTGAGGGAACTTGTGGTTTGACATGATGTTATGTGCACACATATGCTATGTGCACACACATACAAGCGTGCCTGCATTTGTATTTTAGACGTAAGGATTAACCCTCTGCAAAGCGCTGGCTCTGTACCAGGTGCTCTGTGAGACAGGGTACCTATCTTCCCTTGTCTAAATCTGCTAACGAGTTAGGTATCCGCATTGCAGAAGAGGAAACTGAGGCTCAGAAAGGTTCTGTGTCCCATCCAAGGTCAGCAGTTGCTGTGGGCGGTGGGCCGGGATTTGAACCAGGAGGAGGTCTGCTGGCATTCGGGTAACGGGTAGCAGCTTTGGCCCATTAACCCCTGCTGTTCCTTGCAGAGATCTGAGGAGTGCTTGAGCCCCCCAGGGGAGCTTTGTGCTGGGGGAACCCATGCAGCAGACACTCTTCTCAGTTCCGGTCTTTGCACAAATTCTTGAGAAGGAGTCAGTGAGCTCAGGTTTGTGCAGGGCTCTAGGGGCCGTGGAACCCCTGCTGCTCCTGGCAATGTCTTTGGTTCTGCCATTTACCGGCTCTGGAGCCTCTGCAAGCCCCATTTTCTTCACTGGTAAATTGGGGTTGTGTTCCAGCTTCACAGGGTTGTATAGACCTGAGGTCACCCATGCGGTGTCTGGCACCTGGAGGGTGTGAGGGGGCCTGGGTGCCGTCCACTGTTACTCTCCTAGGCATTTTCCTCACATAACTTCCTAAATGCAAAGTGGTATCTTGGACTGGATCCTAGAAAAAGGAAAAACTGGTGAAATCCCAATAAAGTCTGGAGTTTAGTTAGTAGGAATGTACCATTGTTGATTTGGTAATTGTGACAAATGTACCTCAGTCATGTGAGACGTTAGCATGAGGGGAAATTGGGTAAGAGTATATGGGAACTCTCTGTATTTTCTGCAACTTTTCTATAACTCTGTAAAGTTATTGCGAAAGAATTTCTTTTAGCTCAACTTCCCTTGGTCCCATTTCTTCAAGGTCAATGTTTTGCAAAATAAGAAAGTTATAATTGCTTACAAACTAATTCCTAGCAAAGTGTTAATGCCTGTACTTCCCCTTTTCACAGTTTATCAGGGGTTTTGGCAATGATTAACGCCATGAAAAAAAGGAGGAAATGGAATGGAAGGACTTTAAGGCGCTGCGAGATGTCCTTATGCGGGTGACATTGGACTGGGGGAGGCACTTCTGTTATCACTTAAACAGACCTCACAGACGTCTAATTACTCCCTCGCCAGTTCTCTTGGCTGCAACTCGTTTTTACTGTGCAAAATCCCCCCCTGGGCATTATGTCACTGAGTCCAGTCTAGGTGCGGAATGTTACAGAAAGGAGGTAAAGTCCAAGGCCGTGCCCCAGGACCGAGTCCCAAAGCGTCACAGCCTGGCACCGGGACCCTGCGTTCCTGCCCGGCCATCCTCTCCAGCCTCCTGTGTCTCTCCAGACCCCCACCTGGGTTTCAGTTCCCACTTGCTCCCTGCTGTTTTCCACCCCATGATTTTATTTGTTCTACCTGTTTTCCAGGACACTTGGTAGCGGGATGTCTCACAGTACAAAGCAACCTGTCCCGCCCACCTCAGGCCACGCAGTAATGCTGCCTCTTGCCATGGTGACTGCGCTCACGCTGTTCCCTCCACCTGGAACGCAGTCTTATTCTTCCCCTCCTCTGGCTAAATCTAGCTGCTCTTTTTAAATACGATGGACACTGTCCCATCCAGGAACCCTAACATGTACTCTCAACACACACACACACACACACACACACCACACGCACGCAGTGTGTCACCCTGTGGTTGCCATTCGTATTCTCCCATAACATCTTAACTCTTACGCTAGATCATCTGTGGATTTTTCTAGAGACCCTGCTATGCCGGGAGTCCCTGGAGTGCAGGGGCCACACCTTGCTCACTTAGGACAACACAGTGCATCACCAGGAGCCTACCAAAGGCTCCCGCTGATGGTAATGGACGGGCAGGAGAGAGGGTGCTTGTGCCCTGAGACATCCCCTCTGTGCCCTGTGCCAGGTCCCGTGAAGTATTTCTCTTCCCTTACGTATAGTTTATGGGGAGCCAGACACCGTATCAGGAACAATACTGACCACAGCCTCTCCATTACTAAATATTATTATTTCAGACTGTGTTGCTTTCTGACAAGTTGAAATGGAATCTCAGTGTTTTCACTTGAATTTTGGGAAGCAGTGGAGCTGAGCTGTGAGCACACTTGCTCTGGGATCAATGCACTCAACTTCCAGCATCAGTTTCACTCTGTCACAGCTGTGTGACCTTTGACGAGTTGTTTTCCTTCCCTAAGCCTTGGATTTCTCTTCTATAGAATAGATTGTGTAATAATTCTACCATAAAGGATATTGTGAAGATAAAATGAGATACTACAGGTAGACCACTTAGCTTAATGCCGGAATGTCCTAATCGCTAAAAGGTATGAGCATCTCCCCTCCCTACCTCTCCCCTCTCCCCTCCTTCTTTTTCTCTCCTCTTCCTCCCTCTCGGCTTTATCCTTAGCATCATTTTTTCCTTATCTTCTTTTTCATCCTTGTTCTTTTCTTTTAGGCTACAACCCCATTTCCCTAAAAGATTCTTCCCCTAAAAGAATCTGCCTCCTACCTTACCTGCCACCTCATTTCATGCCTTCAGCCTCAAACCACAGCTTTTAACGCATAGTGTGGAAAATGTAGGAGCTAGAGAAAAACAGAGAAAAGGTGAAAACTCTCATCATCCTATCACTCGAGATTGCCTTTGTTAAAATATGTATTTCTTTCAGATTATGTGTGTATGCAGTGATATCATTTTTTCTGGCTGCAACTGTGCGGCATGAGGGATCTTAGTTCCCTGACCAGGGATCGAACCTGTGCCCCCTGCAGTGGAAGCTCGGAGTGTGAGCCACTGGACCACCAGGGAAGTCCCTAAGTGATATCTTTTCATATACAGTCTTTCTATAGTTTATATTCTGAACATTTTAACATGCAGTCATGGTTTTGGAGACTGACGTTTATTCAGGTTTTCTCCTTATTTTTTTTTTTTAATTTCAGCTTTATTGAGGTACAATGACCAAGAAATTTATAGGATATTTAAAGAGTATCTCGTGGTGATTCGATATGCATATGCATTATGAAAATATTCTCCCCCACCTAGTTAATGAACATATCTATAACCTCACATTTTTATCTTTTATTTTGGTGAGAGCATTTAAGTTCTACCCTCTTAACAAATTCCAACTGTACAATAAATACAGTGTTATCAACTATAGTCCCCATGTTTTACATTAGATCCTGAGAACTTATTCATGGTATCAGTGAAAGTTTGTACCCTTTTACCAACCTCTCCCTATTTCTTCCACCCCCTTTCAGGTTCTTTCTGTAATTATAATGGCTAATACTGTGAAGATAATGTTTGTTCATGCATCTTTGTCCACATTAAGTAAATTATGATTTCCTTTGGCTAGGTTCTTAGAAGTGGAATTACTAAGTCAAACAACAGTGAGCGGCCCGCTTACCACGAAAATCTTGACTGAATTGTTGGGTGAAAAACGGTTTACAGTCATTTTAATTTGCATTTCTTTGTTTACAGTGAAGGTGAATGTTTTTAAGCCATTTACATTCCTTTTCCTTGAAGTGTCTGTTTATATCCTTTATCCATTTATCTTGTGTGTGTGAAAGCTAGTATCATCTTTGTTGATTTATATAAACTCTCTCTATAATTTGGATGTTAATACTTTGTCCATTACATTGATGACAAATATTTTCCCAGTTTGTTGTTTGCCTTTTAATTTTGATTTTCTTCCACACAAATATTTTACATTTTTACAAAATTAAATTTATTGCTATTTTCCTTTGTGATTTCCTGTTGATTTAACACCTAGAAATTTCACAGAAACCGGATAAACATTTAATTAGTTTCCTGTCTTGGTGTGTTTAAAAACATCTAGTTCTTCTGTTCTGAAAATTATTTTGCTTTCTGGTGTGAAATAGGTATCTAAAATAATTTTTAAAGTATTTAAAATTTTAAACTTTGTTTAATTTTATGGCTTTATTTTGAATATTTTGGAGCTACTAATAATTTTTTGAGTGCTGACTACATGGCAAACACTATAGTAAGCACCTGATGTATTTTTCTGACTGTCTTCGCAATAACCTTGTGAAGTAGGTTAGTGTAACTACCTTTTCACAGATGAGGAAACGAGGACTGAGTGAGAATTAATGAATTGCCCAAGTTTAGAGACCAAATAAGCAGCAGGGCTAGAATTTGAACCTAAGTCACCTGTCTCCCAGGTTCATAGGTGGACAAGACCTCCCAGCCCCACTCTCACTGCCCCCACCCCTGCCTCATCAGTATTGTTTTCTTTTTCAAGAACTTATCAGTCATTTTTAGCCTATTTATTTTTCCTGCTAAACTTCAGAATCTTTTTTTTTGTTTTTTGTTTTTTGTCGTGGTAAGCAGGCCTCTCACTGTTGTGGCCTCTCCCGTCACGGAGCACAGGCTCCGGACGCGCAGGCTCAGCGGCCATGGCTCACGGGCCCAGCCGCTCCGCGGCACGTGGGATCTTCCCGGACCGGGGCACGAACCCGTGTCCCCTGCATCGGCAGGCGGACTCTCAACCACTGCGCCACCAGGGAAGCCCCCAGAATCATTTTTTAAAGAACCAATCAATCCAAGAAAAACCTTTGGATGGAAATTATATCAAACCTATGAATTAGTTTAGAATGACTGATTTTCCTATATTCAGTCCTTCCATCCAGAAACCCGATTCATCTCTTCATTTGCCAGGAGAGAGCCACGAAGCTTCACATAGAGTTTGTAGTTTTATTCTCATGAGTTTATTTCGAAAGGAAAGTTTATTCATCATGTCTTTACTTCCTTGGAGCTCATTTTCACCCACATCTTCCCCTCTGCCTGGCGCACGTCCGCTTGGACGTCCAGGTCCCGTTCCAGGAAATCTCGCGTGATCTTCTGCCGGACTCCTGGACGTCCGGCAATCAGAGCCCTCAGTCCCCTGTCCTGTAATTGCTTACCTGCAGGCCTCGACCACTAGAGCCAATTACCAGCGGCGGCATCATGTAATCTCAGCATTCCCCCGGCTTCCTGGAGTCTAGCATGCAGGAGGTGCCAGTAAATGATTGTTGAATGAATTATTCCCTATCACTGTGTCGAAACGCTCTTGCTGCAGGACACCGAGCGGTTTTCAAACCTTAGTGTGTATCAGAATCACCTCGAATGCCTGTTAAAAACATATATTGTTGGGCACCACCTCCAGGGTAAATTCTTAAGTCTGGGGGAGGCCTAAAAATGTGCATTTTGTACAAATTCCCACATGCTGGATGGTGCTGCTGATTCATGGAACCGTTTTAAGAGCCATTGTTCTAAAGGAACACTTTTCTAACGTGACTGGGTCCGGTAGTTGGTTGGTTTTTCAAAAATGTTGTTTAAAATGGGGAAATCATAAAATATGATACAGACACATTTTAAATGTTTCATTTTATCTTAAAACATATAAACACACCTTGATTTGCCAATTTGTTGCTGTAGGCTTTTCTCTCAGTAGGGATCTTCTGCAATTCTGCAATGTCTTTCTTACAGAAACTACGTCCATTTGGCATTATCTATAATTTCTAATTTTAGCTTCTCTAAAGTAGAGCACGAAATGAAAGACATTTGCAAATCAGTATGAGGGGAGAAGTTCTATTACTTTACATATCCTTCTACTTTTTACTGTTTAACCCACTTGATGTCTTTTAGCAACTTGATTTTATTTTATTTCCAAAGCATTCAGCCTTATTTTTTTAAAGGCATCTTTCTTTTTGTACCCATATTTGATCAATTTACTTAATATTTAATCTAATGCCAGGTACAACCAGCATAAACAGGTTCAGGACTCACACCTGCCTTTAATCGATCACACAGCTTGGTTGGAGTGAAAGATGCCAAGTGTACTAGACATTAGCATACCAGCCCTAGTGTTCAGTAGGTTTACAGAGAGGATGGAGAGCCTCAGTGGATCTGGCTAGTGGGTTACATATAGGGTAGTTAAGACAACTTCTTGTCTACTGCCACCTATGAGATGCCTTTCATCTAGAGTAGCCGGATATTGTAAGTAACAATACAATGCACCCAGTTAAATTCGAATTTCAGATAAATTTTTTTTCTTAAGTATACATATATCCCATGTAATATTGCAGACATACTTATATTAAGGCAGTATTCATTGTTTATCTGAAATTCAAATTTAACTGGGCATCCTGTGTTTCATCTGGCAACTCGACTTCCACCCTGTTTTCTCCTGATGTATGTCTATGTCTTCTTCTAAGCCTTGTTGAAATATCCTCTCCTCTCTGGATTCCTCCTGTCCTTCTCCCAAGCCCGGGAATTGTTTCTTTTGAGATTTCCATTCCCCTTCCACTGTGTTCCTCATTGGCCAAGATGGAGAGTTACTGGTTAGCAAGTCTGGCTGCCAGGTGGCCTCTGAGCTCCAGAGGACTACACCTTACCCTCTTTGATGGATCCCTACTGTCCTGTGCCCCCTGTGCGGTCAGAGACTGGTCCATATTCCCTGAGTGAATCAATTAATGAATGATGGGTCCAGCTACCCTCCAAAGCAAAGAGTAATGCAACGTTCTCCCCTGCTTGAATTAGATGGTGGGAGGGTGGGTCCGGATTTAATTCTTGTTTTCGGAAGACTCTCATTTGGCTATTTTTCCTTGTATTTTCAGCAACATCAAGAGTGAGTGACACCAGAGAAACTGCTTTTTGGGAGACACAGACACTCAGCTCCGGTAACTCTCAAACTTGGGAGCCGGGCGATTGTGGTGCCCAAGGCCACCCCCAAGAACTCAGGAGGGACTGCTGCAGAGAATCCTGCTGGGTTTTAGATGTAGGACAGGTCCTCTGAGGGGGTCCACCTGGACCCTTAGCTCCTTCCTTGTGAGGTGCCATACTGACCATAAGATAGGCCCCAAGTTTCCATGCAAGTCTCTGTCCAGCCACACTTCTTTCCTAAGGTCTCTGTCCCCCAGACTGCCCCACTGGGTGTCCAGCAGGGGTTACAGACAGCAGGGCAGCAGGGGCAGACAGGGACAGCAGCATCTAACTGAGCCTCTCTGGATATAATCACATTTCTCTTCTTTTCTAGAACTGTTAACAGGTCTTGGGGAAATAGTGAATACCCCTGCCTCAGTCAATGCTTTAAAGGCTAACTTCTTCTGCTCCCTAATTCCTCTTTTATTCTAGTCCTGTGCATGCATGAGCATACCTGCCTGTGCAAAACTGCAGACCATGATTTGGGCCAAATAATACAAACTTTAAAAATATATACACTGGGAGGCAGAATAGTGAAATGGTTAAGAGCAACTGTCTGAGCACAAATCCTGCCCTGTCACTTACTAGTCAGTTGATTTGGGTCACCTACCCAAGCCTCAGTTTCCCTATGGGGTTGTACGAGGATTAACTAAGATGACACATATAAAACTCTTGAATATGACCCCAGGTCCCCAGGTTAGAAAATGTACAAAATCTTCTGCCATGATTAAGCTTTTAAAAATCAGCACCCTTGGGTGCCTGTGAAGGAGGAGAAGAGATGGCACAAGTGTGGACTTTTGAGGCATTTTAGAAGCAAGCCTAGACCTCTCATTGCACTAGAGCCTCAAGAAATCTTTTCAATTTGAATTAAATTTCAAAAACAGATTCCAGATTTGTTGATGTTGAGTTACATGCAGTTGTTACGTCTTTACTTCAGAGTCAACTATAAGAAAAGCAATGGCTCAAAGGTGGATTTCTTGGTTAGGGTTCCCTGTGCGTGAAGCATGCATGCGTCTGATTTTTCTTTTATTCCTTTATAGTTTCTGAATCAGATCTTCCCAGAACAAGTGGTAAGTACTTTGAAAACAGCATCCTGTATTTGGTTTAAAATTTATTTATCCTTCTATACAGTTATTTATATCTTAAAGAATAAACACTGCCTCACTGGACTTTAATGAATGGTATGAGGATCGCATACGTATATGATCTGTGTCCTTTACGGAAATACAAGGGCAATAGAAACTTCCTTCAGCTACAGCATAAATGGACCATGTGGTTATCTAGTTAGGTTCTTCTTCAATTTTAATTTGCCTTTGCCTCAAACTTCAGTGCACATCAGAATCAACTAAGATATTTAGCTGAATGCAGGTCCTTAGAGTTCACCTCCCCACTCCAGACACTCGGATTTGGCTGGTCTGGGGTGGGGCTCAGGAATCTGCATTTTTATATAACTGAAAATAAGGATGGTCTGCAGACCGCACTTTGAGCAAGCATGCTGCATGGCCCAGGACTGAATGAAGTTTTCATGTTTACAATGTAATTATGGGACTTTGCTAAAAATTTCCAAAGCAAGCAACAGAAGATACGTGTATATAGTTTAAGGGCTACCTTTTTAAACTTATTTTTTCTTGATGTCTGTATTTTGCTTAATGTCAAGTAAATGCAGATTTTTAACATTTTCCCAAATGGTTATTGGCTACATCATAAGTCTGACTTGTTGATGTAAAGACTTCTCCATAAGTGAATTGCAGAGATTGAAATTTTACACATCTTTCACAATGGCTTCCACATCCATGCCACCTCACTTGGCCAGAAGAGGTCCTACCAGGGATCCTTCTAAACAGGAGAAGTCCCTGCAGGGACTCAGGGTCCAGTGGAAAGATAGACATTAATCTCTGAGCACACAGTTACAACTACAGCTGTGACGGGTGCTGCAGCAAGAGGTCCAGAGCAAGAGAGACATGCTCAAGCCATCAGAGAGAGCAGCCCCGAGGAAGCCACAGGTATACTGAGGTCCGGGGCTGATGGTGGAGTTAGCCAGACAGAGGAGGAAGGGTGTTTTTCTGTTACTCATTGGCACTGTTGCCAGGAACTTGAGGGAATAGATACAGACTTAGGTTGACAGTAGCCACCCTCCCCCTGCAGTCAGATACTCCCGCTCCCCATGCTTAGCCATCCTTATATCGTGTAGCTAACCACGACAGTAGTCACCCTCCCCCTGCAGTCAGATACTCCCACTCCCCATGCTTAGCCATCCTTATATCGTGTAGCTAACCAGAATAGCGTGCTGATGGGAGGTTATCTCTAGGTCCCATTCCCCAAACTGTGCCTTTGATACATTTTATGAAGCTCTAGAAAAAAAAGGCTTCTGATCAACAAAGTTTGGAAGTGTCACCTGCCATTGGTGGTAGAACACCGTTTGTCTTTTGGGGCAAATGGGTGAAGAGCAGGTGTGTGGGCAGCTGCAGTCAGACTCGGTTCTTGTCTGCTTTCTAAGTCCTCGTCTAAATCTGCATGGAGATGATGGAGGCAAATCCAGAGATGTATCCATGTGCACATCTCCCGGATGCTCATCCTTGGTCATGTCTCAAACTGACGCATCAAGCAGTGAGCAGCCTGGCACAGTCTCCACTTTGTGCTATCCTGTCCCTCCGTACCATCCCCTTAGGCTGGACATCCTCCCCTTCGTCCACGGAGAGGGCTCAGACAAGGCTCCCATCCACAAAATCCTTAAACTTCACTGAGATAGATGCATTCTGTATGGCAGAAAAGATAGTACCTGAGAGCATGGAATAAGCTGGGTGCTTCCTGAGCATAGATCACATCCTGTGGCTATAACTGGTGTTAGAGGGCCTGGAAAGGAGACACGTACTTTATTACATCTAATATTACTGAACACCCCAGATCCAACCCACTTGTTTTAAAGGTCTATTGCAAAACCCCAAACACTTTCAGCAAGAATGCTGCAGGCACAGAAACCCAACATTGAACCACAGCACCCCGTGGCATGATTGTGAGGTGAACGTCAAGCCAGTTTCTGTGTCTGTAGATCATTTACAAACAGCAGAATCGCCTAAGATGAATTTGATTTCTTTCTAGATCCGTGGGTTCTCCACACCACAGATAATGGTAAGATATTTTTTCTTTATTTGTCTTCCCTGGGGTTTTGCTCGCTGGCTGGGTCGGCCAGGGTTACTTGAGGCTGAGTGCAGTCTTGGCCACAGAGCAAGTGCCTGCCCTTTAGAACGCAGGGATGGAGAGGGAGGGGTCAAGGGTTCAGAGATCCTCTGCGTGTCCCAGACACATGCTCAGCCAGTTTCGTCTGCCGTTCTCCTTCCTTCTTCTCTCTGCCTCTCAGTTATTCATTGAATGAGATTACCTTCAGCTTGGTGTCAGGAGAGAGAGGTGAAAAACAAATCAGTGTCTCTTCTCACCATGAATGTCAGTTCTATCAAAGATAGCTAACATCTCCCAAGCATTTGCTTTGTACCCTGCACAAAATTATTTTCATACACCAAATGAGTTAATATATAAAAAAGCATTTAAAAGACTGGCTACGAGCTTCCCTGGTGGCACAGTGGTTGAGAGTCCGCCTGCCAATGCAGGGGACACGGGTTCGTGCCCCGGTCCAGAAAGATCCCACATGCCGTGGAGCGGCTGGGCCTGAGAGCCATGGC